TTTTGGGAGGTTTGGACAGGAGTCTCTCTCTCTCACACACGTGCATGCCACACACACACACACACACACACACACACACACACACACACACACACACACACACACACACACACACACACACACACACACACACACACACACACACACACACACAGACACACACACAGACACACGTATGTAACACATACTCATAGACAGTGACGCTCGAACAGAACATTGAAGACATTTTTTTTGCTGGGATTTATTCCGTTTTAGGTAAATGTAGATTTTTTTTTAACTTTTGGGCATTAGAGTAGGTGTCACATCATTAAATATCAAATATGGGATTCATTTTGGAATTATTTCCCACAAAGCATTATTCACCAACCTAAAATAACAACACTAACATAGCTAATGATGCCAATGCAACAATTTCAGTAAATGTAAATGCCTGATAAACCAATCAAATCACTATTGTGATATATTTACATGACTCATACTCACCAATGGTGATGCATTTGTTTGCAGACATGTATATCAGTCATTTGATTGTTAGATCTTCTTAACCAAAGTAATGTCTGTAACATAATGGTCATCTGAAAACGTATACACAGTTATTGACCCAATACTAAATTAAACACCATTTTTATTTGAGATATATTCATTCATCATTCACTTGTATCAAAGCAACACCGGATTATTTTTCATTCATCAAGTGAACATTTTTAATTGAAGAGGTTTTTTTCTCATTTCAACAAAGCGTTGCATTTATTCTTTACCGCCTTATGTTCAGTATAGTTACACAGGACTTTGGTTTGACTGAAAATGCAGAACCATAATGACATTTCACAACGCTTAACATTGAAATGGGAAAGCAGGAATAAGGCTGTGAGCTTCAGCCCTCTTGAAGTCCTTAATTGGTGTCCCACTTGAAGTACATACTTCTAATCGCTCAGTTACATCTGATTGCCTTCTGAAATGTTCCGGTTTCCTAAGCACGCCCTCCAGCTATTGATTCCATCACGATAAACCAAATATGTCGTTAGGGAAGATCCAGTTTCTGCGATAAGATGAACTCTGAATGCACCACGGTCCGCTTCCTCCTTCATTGCATAACACTTCTGTCAACTTCAGTTCTTCTAGTGAAAACACAAGAACTGAACAGTGACAAGAGCAGCCTACCATAGCCTGGCTCCGGGCCGTTCCCACATCAGTTCCCCTGGACACTTCCCTTCAGGCCTGGCAGAGCAAGAACTTCAGTCTTATGTCACCGTCTTTATACCAGCAGGTTGGCAGTTCAGACGTCTTGCTCTGGAGGCTGAGATGGATAAACAAACAGCCACTTTTGGAGCCAGATTTAAGTTCTTAAACTAACCAGTCAGCGCTCGAATTAATCATTTGGCTCGCATTAATGCTGGCTTCGTAACACCATCCGTACCAGTGCTGTGTTGCATAACCCACACAGCGGTCAGCCAGACACCAAACCAGCCAATCCTCTTTGTGTTTAGGACGCATTGTTTGTGCAATCCCTGAAGAACTTAAAGGGGACCTATCATGCAAAATGCACTTTGTGATGTCTATTATACATAAATATGTGTCCCCGGTGCGTCGGGGAACTCACGCAGCGTCAGAAAATAAAACCCTCTCTCTTTTCCCCCGTACCCAAATCTTTTAAAAACGGGTGTACAACGAGCAGACACAGATTCCATCCGAACTGACGTCAAATCGGCAGCGGACCCACAGAGAGTTGCTATCAGAAACAATGCCTGACGTGTTTTGGACGTAATATCGTCTTTGTTTACATTAGCACTCGCTAACACTCAGAGCTAAGCTGTACTGTAGAGCACATGTGTTTTAAAAAGCAGGAAATAAAGAAAGGAACTCACCTGATAAACCTGCAAGAGAAAAGGCATTTGAGCTCCATACTGTTTCAGAAATATCCTTGACGTGGTTTAAACAGGATGGCGTTTTATCACAGCAGAATTTAACATCTCCGGTAGAATTCTGATCAGGCATTAGCTCCGCCTCCTCTTCTTTCTTTTTATCAAGCTAAGGACCCAAAATCTCTAATTCTCTAACAGGGCCGCAAAAGAGGGGTTTGAGCAGTATGAGGCATGGCTACAATGGGAGATCTGTTTGGTATTTTGAAAAAAAAACTTCACAGACATGTTTTGTATAGGTATGGCCCTACAATATATTTTTCAAATATAGCATGTGAAAAGTAGTAAAAGTGTGTTAGATAAGCATTTTAATAATACCTGAGGGTTGTGAGTCTTAATCAGAGCTTCAAGAAATGATTTCAAAAAACATATCTGCTAACATAACAAGTTGAAGTTGGGTTAAGCAAATTAAAACCTTCCCTTTTCTAATTTCCTTTCTCTTTTATATCCTGTCTGACATAAAATGGTCTTGTTAAACCAGTGTAGTCAGTGGATATGTTTTAATGAAGCTTCACCTCAATCCCCCTCAACTGACCAGTGAAGCAGGTCGATGGTTGGTGTGCCCCAGGGAGCGCTCGATCATAAGAGGTTATGTAATAAGTCTTTAATCCTCTCCGGGCCTCTGCTGGCGTTTAATTAGAGTGGTGCTGCCAGTCCAGAAGTTATTCAGCCAGTGAAAAGGCCTTAATCCCTCTTATTTGGTTTGTGTGTGATGTCGGAGGTCTGAGAAGGAGCAGGGTGTTGAAAATATGAACTGAAAAGGTAATCTGATGTTAAACAGAGATTGGAAATGTAAATTACTTGAAGGTGTATCAACCGAAGTTGTGGTATTGATTAAAGATAACATCGTCTATTCAATTTAAACAAGGAACGGCTGCTTTGGTTGATATTTAACAGTGTTTCAAAGAGCTACAATGTTTTAATTTAATATTTTCTCAAGTATATGGGGATGACATTTTAATGTTTATTTAGCTTACCACTGGATGATTTCCTGTAAGCAAACTATTCTGTATTGACTTGTAAATGGGAATAAGTCCCACGGGACATTGTGTTGCCTGGAGTCTGATTTTATAATCTGAAAAGCCACAATATTAGCACTTAAACATCTTGAAGCATTGTCTTTAAGCTTCCTTTGGGTGGGACTTCGGCGATAGCCATCATGACGATATGATGATAATGTCTTGATATGCGAGAGGATTAGTCAAAAATAACAGCACTGTGTAGAAATGGAGAGGAAATGAGCACGTTGGGCCCGTCTAAGCTGATTAATGCTTCAAAAGTACTTGTTGGATTGTCAAAAAGCTGTTTTTCTGGCAATTATTGTAACTTTCCCGAACCGACAAGCGTTCCTCCTCCATGCAGCGATCGGCAGGTGTTCGGAGGAGTGAAAGTATGCAGACTACAAACTTCTTTTTCAAGCTATCCTTTTTCAAATAGGGACCAACAGCATGATTTCCTTTCTGGGAACACTGTCCGACAGTGTGCGTCATTATTCCCATTTGTACGATTCATCACATCTCGCCCCTGTCTACTTTGGCAGGCTCTTTATGCCCAGCTCTGAGTGTGGTGGTTCAGACCTGGCATAAAGACTTTAGACATGTTCAGTCAGCTCTACGTTCAATCTAGTTGGTTTGAATCATAATGGACTCATTAATACTTTATTGGAAAATACACCCAAAAAGACCAATCAGTCATTGTTTTCACACTGATGTATCGTACGGACTAAATCAATCCAAAAACAGCTTGGAGTTTATTGGAACATCAACAGGATTTTAATTTGAGAACATCTGACTAGTAGTTGTTATAGTAGCTACCAACAGCAGTATTTGTAGCAGGACACATGACACAAGAAAAACAGATGGCTTATTATCTAAACGTAGATAAACCCAATAATATTAAAAAAAAACTGGTTTAATCCCTGAGATAATTTGCTGATGCTATCAGTTTGTCTCTTAAATCTAAACGCTCAACATTCAGCAATGTTGTCACACAGGAAACAGTCAGTGTGGTCAGGCCTCTTGTTTCATACTGATGAGGAAGGGGTTCACCTGCACAAATGTATTTGTGTATATACACACACACACACACACGTTTCCCCTGTAATACCATGGTGACCGTATGTAAGCTTTGTTTTAATATTCAAGTCAGCATTTCTTAACTGAATAAGCAACCAGTTGGACCTTTGCACCTCCCAGTTTGCCATAATACCAAAATGTCAGTCAGTTATTTATTTTTGACAGTCCAGAGGATTTTACATTAAGTCCAAAGTTTAGAAATATCACATGACAACGCTGCAATACCAGGTAGTAACTGGTTGTAATTATCACTAGAACTAGACAAATGAAACAGCCATTGCAGGCTGTAAATAATTGTCTCGGTAATGGAGTTTAGGTCGATCAAAATAATTTGACGTACACTGAATAACCACATCAAGCTCAGAAAATATTAACTAAATATAAATGATGTGATGATGTAAAGAAAGTCTGTAAGGTTATTAATGATAGCTGTGTCCTCAGGTCACCTGGACCTGGAGGGGCTCTTCCTTGTGAATGGCAACGCAGAGCGCGTGGATTGGCTGCGGCAGCGCTACGACAGCGGGGAGGAGGTGGCGCTGCAGAAGGAGGCGGACCTGGCGTCTGCGGTCAGTTTGCTGCGGCTCTTCCTGCAGGAGCTTCCTGAGCCCGTTATCCCAACAGCGATACAGGGACACATCCTGCAGCTCCACCAAGGTGTGTGACACCCCCTGCTTTAACCCATGTCACTTCACCACTCAATGTTTTTGTTATTTGATCCACTTTACCAACATTTTGTGTTTTCCTTTCTTTCTTTTTTGCTCCATTTAATGTTAGTTTGTGATTTTATTTTTGCCTGTTGCAAATAACAAAGTGTATTTTTTCGTATTTGTCCGTCTGTACAAAACACGCACCATTGTATCCCATTTCTGGATTTTCATCAACATTGATTTGATGTTCACATGTTATGGCCATGTTCACTTACTGCTCAGACTTACTGTACTGCAAGGACATAAATGGTGTCTTCCGTCAATATTAAAACCCAATACACAAATGTACCTTAAATGTACATTGTCATTTTAATTTATTCTCAATAATTAATACAATGCAATCATTTCTACATTTGCTATTTTATTGTGCTGTCCCTCCTCCATGTCTTGTCCTCTTTTGCCTCGGTTTCTATCAGAGATAATCTTTTCTAATCCTCTTGTCATGATCATGGTTGTCTCTATCGCTGTCCTGCAGATAACAGCTGTGGGGGAGTTTGCAGGGACTCTCCATGTCACGTCATTCATTTTTCATTCTCTTCTATTTTATACGATACGATACAATATTATGATTTATTAAAAGATAACTACATTTTCCTCCCTAATGCCATCTCTTTTTACACCCCATTGCATCTCTACCAGAGGAATATACATTGTTCTTTATCTGTGTCTGCATTATGTATTTTCTTCCAGGTCAACTGTGAGCAAACACATAGGACTTGATATCACATTATTTACTGTTCAGTATAAGTAAATATACAGAAATGAAACGGGGCATAGAGAGGCGAAGTCCCCCCCTTTCCGGGGACCACCATGGGACCGTATTTCGGAAAAATAATGTATTGAAGTCAATGGAGAGAGAAAACGTATCTTTCAATCCCGTTTGAGTTGTGCCACGAATTACACATATGATGTTTGTCAATCTTAACAAATAATTTCCATGTCAAAAAAGTCACAGTTTGTCGTAAAACTGTTGAAATATAAGACTATGAAAAATACGCAACTAGAAAGACTACAAATCCCAGAATCCTGGTCCCGCATGCTGGCTCTTACGGAACCGACTAACCCCCCTTTTGTGTATGTACAGCTCTCAACATGCCCAGACTTGGAGTGATTTTCACCTCTTGTAATACTTTTCGCCTCATTCTGAAAGAAACAAGTGAAATTTGCCAACGTGACGGCCGTCTTGGTGTGTGGTGCGAGACGGGAGAAGTAGTTCATTGAGCGGTTTCACACCAAAAAAAAGTGTTACTTCACAGTTTTACGACACATTTTAATTTATTTGACTTGTAAAATTATCTTTTAT